GCAGCGACACCAGCACCAGCACGGCCACCCGCCACAGCCGCCTGCATGCGCTCTGGGAATCCCTGCGCAGCTGCCACTCGGCCAGCAGCTCCTGCGGGCCAGCGCACACCTGTCACCTGCTCCATGAGATGCCACGGACCCAGGCGGCCCCCTCCCCTGCTGAACTCGCCTTCCCACCCCACAGCGAGCGCAAAGCCCAGCCCTGCCGGAGGTCCCGAGCGCGCTACCCCACGTGGGTGGTCTTGAGCTGACCGGGAGCCCCTGGGGCACGGGTGACACCTGTCTCCAGGAAACCCCAGATCAGCCTGCCTAACTCTGTGACCTTGGGCAAAGGACTGGGCTTCCATGCCTCAGTTCCCTCCCCGTTCCTTGCCCACGAAGCTCATGTGGTCACTGTGCAGATCGACCCCCAGGGCCTCAGGACAGGAGACCCGGAGCAGACCCAATGCTGCTAAGGGGCTTCAGGCCCTGAGGCAGCTGACAGGAGACGCGCTCCTTCCCTCCGGAACACATCTGGGGCGTTCTGGGCTTCAGAGGGGCCAGCCAGCCGCCACTCACCTTCAGCTGGGTGCAGATGTTGTCCCTCTGGAGGCGGGAGGCCCAATTCTGGGTCACCTTGTAGTCCCAGGAGCAAAAGGCCGTGATGGCGTGGATACCCTTGGTGCTGCCCACCCGGTAGCTCTCCCCGAAAGAGTGGGACATGCTGGGGAGAAGCAGAGACGGGGTGAGTACTGCGGAGTCCAGGGGCACAGAGACCAAGGGAGAAGACAGGGCAGCCCTGGTGTGGACCACTGCCTCTCTGGACCAGGAAGATGGGCCAGGGCATCACTTGCCGCTGGCACAGCCGGCCCCTCCCACCAGACGTGGTCTGGCAAATGCTGGGCTCACCTCAGGGCCTTTGCGTTGCACACCCAACCACCACAGCACTCTCTCCCCCTTCTTTTAACCTCCCCATCCCAGCGCTCTGCAACACCTAGGAAGACATTTCCATGGCACTGGGTGGTCCCGACCCACTCACTGCCCTATGTTCTCCCAGGAGCAGCAAGCTTCTCTGACTCCGGCACCGTGCTCAGGAACCCTCCTGCCCCGAGGCGGCACAGCAGACACTTGTGGGTGCACAGGTGAGCAGATGGGTGGGTAAAGGGTGGCCGGGCCGACAGGTGGATGAGCGGATGATGCCAAAGGCATGGGTGAAGGAGGGAGAAGGGACAGATAAACAGATGGGGAAGAAAGGATGGACGGCTGGGTGCACGGAGGGAGGGATGGACGATGGACCGACAGGTGAATGCACGGACGAATGAGAGACGGATGGAGAGCTGGACAGACAGACTGGAGGATGGATGAAGGGGTGAAGAGACAGACGGACGTACGGGTGGGTAAAGGAGGATGGCTGGGTGGTGCTCAGAGCCGGGTCCTGGGGGTTACCTGTACACCAGGGTGACGCAGGTGACGAAGAAGGCCGCACCCACGGTGAAGAGGTAGGCCAGGGGCATGCTGTAGGGCGGGCTGCCCGCCCCGGGCCCACACTGTGGGCGGCCGCACGGTGCGCTCAGCGTGCTGTTACTGTAGTAGCCGTAATACAGGACGCTGTGTGTGAAGCAGCCCTGCGGGGGCCGGGCCCGGTCAGGGGCTGTGCCTCCCCCAGCCTCCCACCCGGAGCCCCGGGGAGTGTGACAAGTGGGGCAGATGGCCGAGGCGGGAGCAGTTGGGGCCCAAGGAACCCCTACCCCGCCTGTGAGGAGCTCCAGCCCTGTGCAGGTGGGGACAGGGCGCGCCTCAGGCGGGAAGGCAGCCTGCACGGCCACCAGGAAGGCCACCAGCGGCAGCAGCAGCAGCGCATTGAGGGCCAGCAGGGTCTTGAGGAAGAGGAAGTAGGACAGCACGCTGGAGCCAAACTGGCCTCCGATCTGCTTCAGGGCATAGCGCCAGGGCCTCAAGGCATGCAGGCCGGTGAACAGCGCCAGCCCCAGGCTGTGCAGGGCCTGTGGGCACATGGCGGGAAGCCCCGAGGGCGGCTGCAGCCGAGACCCACAGCCACCCCACCCCACCCAGCCTCCCCAGCCGGCACCTACCAGGGCACAGGTGTATCGGAGCTGGGTGCAGCAGAAGACCCCACCATGGTCCTGGCGGCCCCTCCGCTTCCCCCGCGGGGTCCGGCTCTTCTCCCTGGGGACAGAGGCAGCCCTCGGTGCCTGGGCCAGGGAGGGTCCTGGCTGCCTCCCCAGGCCACCCACCCACAGACTCGGGACCCTTTCCCTGGCCGCCCAGCACAGCCCAGGAAGTAGGTGTCAGGGTCACAGGAAGCTGCAGGGCACTCACCGCAGGAAGCGCTTCTCCTGCAGGCTCAAGGGCATCGCCTGGAGCATATGGTCCCGCTGAGCCACTGGCAGGCCCTGAAGCTCCTTCACCAGGAGGCTCCGCTTCTCTGCAAGAGGGAGGAGGTCGGGCGACCCCTGAGATACCCAACATCCCTGCCTCCCAGCCACCATCCAGGCCATGCACCCAGCACCCAGGCCATGCTAGAGCCATGCCCAGCTTATACCCCACTCTGGCCAGCAGCCCAACTGCCGTGTCCCAGAACCCTCTCCCTTCTCCAGCAGGTGCCCTGGAGTGCAGGAGGGCAAAGCTCAGCCTGGGCACTCACCACCCACTCCCAGAGTGCTCAGGAGGCCCGAGGAGGGGACCCTGGGACCTCAGCATTCCAAGAACCAGGACCCAAAGAAGTGAGGTCCACAGCAGGCCAAGCACTCGGATAAGGCCACACAAGGAAGTCAGCACAGCTCCTCCTGACCACCTCCACCCTCGCCAGGCTCGGGGCCTGGAAGGGTGAAGATGTGCTTTACTGTTATCTCTACAACCAACCCGGAGGTGGGTACTACTTTAATCCCAATTTTACAGATGAGAAATAAACCTCAAGAAGCTGCAACATGGCCCAGATGGAAAAGTAAACAGGGAAACTGGAACTTTTACCCTAACTTCAAAACCCACGTCACCAGGCACTGCCCTGACATCACCAGCAGGAAGCCTTGGCTCTCCCCTTTCCCCAGACCCTCCACAGTGGCTTCTGAGCTGCTCAGACAAGCCTGGCACTGGCTGCCTCAGGGCCTTTGCACATGCTTCCTCTGCTCTAGTCACTCCCTCCTGGAGCCCTCTGGTCTAGACTGGTTTCTAGGAGGCTCTCTTGCAGGGCCTCTTTCCTGGCTGCCTTCATCTGAGCAGTAACCATCTAACCGTGTGTTCAGCTGCTCATGTCTGTCTCACAGGAACAGTAAGCTGTATGAGAACTGCAGGTCTTGCATGCTGAAACCCTGCCCAGTGTGGGTAACATGCCAATGTTCAAGAACATCGAGGAACAAATGCATCGACCCTGCTGCGTACGCCTGGCATGGGGCAGCCCTCTGCAGACTTCAAGACCCCGCCGTCCAGCGGCAGGGGGAGGGGCTTCCTGGCTCAGCCACACCCTGCTGCCACTCTGCCAGCCTCACGTGTGCCCACCGTACCCCTCACAGGCTGTGCCCACACTGAGGCTGCCTCGCTCACCTTCCTCCTCCAGTGCCACAGAGTCCAGCTCCAGGTCGTAGAGGCGGAGGCTGGGCCGGGCCGAGCACAGCACCTGCCCAAGGACCGGCCGGCTGTTTCTGCGCCGCCGCAGGCGGACAGTGCGGTTGTAGTACTGCGAGATTATGGCCCCTCGGCTGCGGCCTGGGAGGGCAGGTGGCAGGTGGCAGGGCCTGGCCGGTGTTCTGGCCACCCAGCCTCCCCACCCTTGGCCTGCCCAGGCCCTCCGGCTCCGCCACACTCCCAGGAACCTATTTTTACCCCTAGGGTGATGACTGAAGTCGTTTTTAGAACCCAGTGCTGGGGCGGAGCAGAGGCCCACCGCTGCCCAGCTGAAACCTCAGGCCAACTCAGGGCTGAGGCAGAAGCCAGCGTCCACTCACCAATGGTGCGACTGGGCATGCTGGCCAGGATTTTGAGAGTGGCCGTGCTGTAGACAGGGCCACCCTTGGGCCCCAGGAGGATCTGGTGACCGCTGGCTAGGAAGGAAGGATGCCATTAGCCAGTACCCCACCCTGGCCAGTCCACACACCCCGAAGGGACATCACCAGTCCCTCTGTATCATGTGCTCACCTGGGGCCCCCAGGTTTCCTGCCACCTGCTGCAGCTCCAGGCCCTCTTCGGCCACCCACCGGCTCTGCTCCTGAATGAGTTGGTGGAACGAGTCGTGCACCTCACTCTCCTCATAGGGGCTGAGCTCCTGGCTGCTGGGCGGTCAGGAGGAGCGGGCATGGGAATCTAGGCACAGCCCTGGTCCCAGCAACCGCCCCCTTCCGGAAGGCTCAGACGGGGCTGGATTGCTGGCCAGCTGCCAGCCCCAGAGCACTTACTCCTGGTCCCCTGGGGCCTCGGGCACATCAAGAACTAAGGCCAGTGGCTGGGCCATGACTGCGGTTCACATCCAGCAGATCTGCGGACCTACAACAGCACACAGCCTGGACACAGCCTCCGGAGCCTCCTGTCACTCATCTGATGAGACGGGGACACAGGCAGCCTCCAGTATGGGGTGCACATCCAAACAGCCCGTCCCTGGGGGCCCAGGCTACCTGCACCCGTCCTGCCCCACCCACAGCCAAACACTCTCACTCCTGAAGGGCTGAGGAGGGGGAGTGCGGGGAAGGCAGGGTGTGGGGCCTGCGGTTCCCCATGTTTCCTCCGGTGTCAGCTGTCCTGGGAGATGGGACATGCCCTTTTCTGGCCCTGCGTTCCGAGAGCGCAGCCCAGCACCTTCCCTGTCGGGAGAAAGGTCAGAGCAGCTCGCCTTCCCTTGGCCGCCCTGTGACCCCAAAGCGCTTCCTTTCACCCGAGCCCGGCCTCTACCCTGCGGAAGTAACAGGCAGAAAGGCTCCCCTCCCACAGGACAACAAGGTCTTTACTCCCTCCACGCGGCGGCGGCGGCCCCTGGGGAGGGCCTGGGCCTAAACAGAGCCCCTTTGTTCTGGCTCTGGGTCGGAGGGCAGCACTGGCACCACAGGGCTTTGTCTGGGGCCCCGCCTCCGGCCCCTGGGAGTGGGGTGCGGCAGAACTCTGCCAGAACAGCACACGGGCCGGCGGGTCCTCCATCGGCCCTGCCCTCGCCCCGGGGATACTCAAAATCAGCAGTTAGCTCCTCTCTAGGGAGTTCCCTGGACGGAACTCTGGGCCCGCACAGGGCTCTCCTAAGCATCCAGGAGGGGGAAGCCGGGTAGGCTGAGGGGGCCTCATCGACATCTGGGCTCCCGCCATCCAGGGCGGAGGACGTGTCCGGAGACTAAAGCCCGGGATCTGCGACCAGGCCGGAGACTTTCCCGGGCGCCGGAGTTTCCGGGGTGCAGCAAGCCTGAGCCTGGGTCCGGGCCCGCGCCCCGACCCGCAGTGCTGCTACCCGGGAAAGGCGCCACCCAGCCTCATGCCAGG